GTTATGCTGGACGAGCTTTCTCAACCCTTTCGTAGAGGTTCCAGGATATGAATACTGAACAAATAATTGTATCAAGTGTCTTAGCACAAGTCGCAGAAAGAGGCCCAAGAGTGGGACGCTTAGCGTACACTAGAGAAATAATTTTCGAAAACCAATTTTTGAGGGAGCTGAAAGCAGTTTGCTTTTTGAAACGACCGCAAGCAACAGAACTACAGAAGCACTCAACGGTGATCACTAGGGGAAACGATTGAAGATGTCACCAGACGCTAGATGTCGCCGCTGCGGAAAAAACAGCCAAAGACCTATGAGTGCAGAGTGCAGACTAAAGCCAGGGGCAGGAACAAACTTACCCGATGCTACGCCATGCGACGCTACCCGATGCTACCCGACGCAAAGCCAAACTCCGATTTTCCATAAGGTTGCATTACCCTCGTTCAAATCTACCCGATGCTATGCCACGCTAACTTACCCGACGCTCTGCGATCCCCACTGTCCAGATGTTCGTCGGGTCGCGTCGAGTACAGTCGAAGACAAAAGAACCGGACACCCATATTTTTATTCAAACTACATGTATTATTGTCGTTATATTAATTACAACATAATTATTTTAATCATATAAACCAAATTAACAGTAATTAAAAGTTAATTAGTTTTTATTTTAAAAATTAATTTTAATGTTTTGGTAGAAAATTAATCAAAACACCGGAATACGATTTTTTGATATAATGAATTTTACTAACAGTTTATTGTACTCGCTTCGGCGGTACATATACTAAAATTGGAACAATTTATTACACGGTTTTGCTCATAAAACTTAATTAACAATTGATTTCATAGTTTTGCTCGTAAAATTACACCATTTTCGTCGAGTAGCATCAGAACAGGACATTCATATTTTTTGTAGTTTATTTCGAACTAAGTACATATAATTTTGTCGTTATATTAATTAGAACATGTTATTTTAATGTAAACCAAATTAAACGAGATCAAAAATTCATAAGTTTTTATAAACATTGTTTAATTATGTTACGTTTAATATTATTAGGAGTAACTTTATTTAAAACAATTAAATTTAACAAACAATTTATTAGATGGTTGTGCTCATAAAATTTAACTAACAATTTATTACAAGGTTTTGCTCAAAATAGTGCATTAAGAATAAAAGATGCGTTGCGATTGGGATAGTGATTATTGTGATAAACGCTGTGGACTGTAAGCGACGTGTGCTTGCGTCGGATAGATGTGCAGACCCCACCAAAACGTGGCAAGGCGTCGGCTGGCGTAGCATCGGGTAAGTGTGTTCCCGGCTTAAAGAAGCTTTATCAGAGACCGAATTCGTTATCACCTACCTGGTAACATTGCCCCCAAAGCCGATGAAGCAGAAGAGGGGACATCACCTACTTCCGATGCGGAAAATCAGGGCATTTCACTCGCCGGTGCAGAGAAGTCTTGAAGAGAGTGTAGTCCTGCGAAGTTAACCGCACTAGAGAGTTAAACCATAATGGCCAGTGTGTACAGTTATTGTATATTTGTGTACAGTTTTGATTCTGGGTCTGAATGTTCTCTTATTAAAGCTACTTTGGTTTCTAAAATTGTGGGCTCTAGATTTAACAAATTAGTCACTATTCCGGTATAGGGGATGATTTTTATCCGCATCCATCTGGAACAATCTGTGACAAAGTAAAAGAAGAGTAGAAGGACCTTATGCAGAGAAGAGGCCTGGGCATCCTTCCCGTTCGGCGCTCGCGGGGTTCGGTCTCGGCGGGGTCGGGCTGTGGACTGTCCGCGGGACCCACTAACAGGAATAGCTAGATGTACTAATGTACAAGGCCAAAAAAAAGAAGGAAAAAAGAGTTGTCCAACGACGTCCTTATCGCCTTTGCCCGTCTGAAAGGGAAAGTGTGCGTAAGTCACTAAATTGCTCTCCGCAGGCATAATACGCCCGAGTGGTTCACCTTTTTCCAGTCCTCTTATTCTCGTCAAAAATAAAGATGTGTCAGATCGCATGTGGCATTAAATTCTGATACTGTCCCAGAATGGAATTCATTGCCTTTAATTTCAGATCAAATAGCGAGGTTAGGGGGTGTACATTATTTCTCATGCTTACATATGGCCAGTGGGTTTTCATTTAAATTAGAATTTATTTCCCCATTTAATGCGTTGAAAAGTACAATTTGAAACAAAGTGAATGAAAATGTGCGTTACTCGATCGTCATATAATTATAACGAAAGCCTGCATACGTATGCAAAGAACGCATGACATGTACTTATTATTATTATTGTTTATTGAACGCATTTATTAGAACAAATATAGTGTAAAATGTTCCCAATAGAAAATTAAGTACATAGAACACTAAATCACCTTTCTAGAATGAAAAGTGTAAAAATAGGTTTGTTTAAGAATGAACGGGGGATAAGTGTGAGTGATTAGTGTTTAGATCATAACTGGCATGTTCTGAGGGTTAAAATTAATTAGATTTTGATAGTAGCGTAACTTGGCACGGGAGAACGTAGAAACATCTGTCCCTGATCACAAAGAACTCGGAGTGACTACTGGTGAGATGTGTATTTCAAATATTGCTTTGATAAACTCGTGAGAACAATATGATCATAAAGTGATATTAAAAAGCAATATTATTACAAATTATGCAAAAACTGATAATTGGGAAAATCCTCTATCGGACAAACTTGTTTTTATTTACCATTGTTCTTTCTCTGCAGTATTGTAATTATTTTTCTTATATATAAAGTTTTACAATAAATTTCTTATTCTGAATAAAGTGATGCTTGATATTTATAACGTAGAGTGACACTTTATATATCAAAACTTATGAATCGAAATGACTGCTGGTTTTCACTCTCGTGCCATAGAAGCAACTGGTTTGAGTATTTTGCAATTTAAATGTAATTAAGTTTTGACGGCGTTAGACTCGAGAAAGTTTATTAAGAAAGGCAAAACTGGAAGTTCTATCAATGCGTATAATATTGTACTTGAGCGTACTTGTGATATTTCAAAAAATAAATATTTATTGTTATCGTCATGCACCGGTTTTTTGTAAATGAACGATAACCAGTTATGTTATTTTACATATTTTTAGTTAATTTATTGATTTTTATGTACAAGCATACACATAAAAAATTGACCTTATGACTTTTTGGGACTCATAAATTTGTGTCAAACATTATTCCCATTCGGGTAGAATTCCTAATCGTTCTCTAATTAGAGCCAAGAAATTAAGGTCTGTGTATGAACCTCCCCTCCGTGGATCTATCTACCGTACTCTTAATGCATATCACCTTTTTGGTGACGATAAAGAAAATATTCATTATTGAAAACGCGCTATTTTAAATTTTGTTTCTACGAAAATCGGCTGTGTTTCTAAAAACCGTCTATTTCTCAGCCAAATAAAAAAAAAATGAAAAACACAAAGAGGAAAACTTTCGACAGTAGCTAATTTGATTTGTGATAGAAAGGATTTCGTTCATCTCGAAAATGGGAAGAAATATGGAACGCTGTTTGTTACAACTACAGTGAAGAATTGTTCGGCGGACATTCATTAATCTTAGTTTATTTTCAAGTTGAGACCTGCAATAACTTCTAGATTGTAAACATTTTAAAAGATAAACAATGGAAAAGATCTCTTCTTACTATTGTTAAACTAGTGGTTTAACTATTTATAAACACACAAAAAATACATAAACGTCGTGACAGAAAAATCATTTTCAGTATCCAGTTGTGTATAATATATAAAATCTTTGTATAGTGTGAATTCATTCAACCTTAAGATCATTTATTTGAATTAAATATGATAAGTTAATATATTATATATATATAAACTTAAATATATATAAGTTAATATTATATATATATCATTTTGATTCGTAAGTTTTGGTATACAGGGCATCCTATTTAGATGGTCCGGCTGAATTTCTTTTGAACCAATGGCGCTATAAAAAAAAATAATAATAAATAAAAAATAAAAATAAAATTACTTTTTTGGGTAAAACATTATACAGGGTACCTCAGGCCCAATTCAACTAAAAAAAATTTAAAATACGACGCCTGGCACATCATTTTAAAGGATTTTTTTACGCCAAAAGGAAAGATGCAATCGGGTCTTAAATTGGTAAAAAAATTACAAATTTTTGCCAAAAAGTTTGAAAAAAAAACAGTCAATTGGTTTGCTATTTATTAATCACATTTCATGTTCGAACTGCTTGCCTTGCGTAAAAATGCAAAGATTAACCACTCTTCACCGGCGCCCAGAACGATAGAATCAGGGGAGATGGATTGACAAGCATTTTTTGTCCTTTGCCGCAGTTCTTCAACCGAGGTTGCTGGGTTATGATTGGCGTAAACACTGTTTTTTAAATTGCCTCACAGTAAATAGTCAAGAGGAGTTAAATCGGGTGACAGAGAAGGCCAACAGATCGGGCCATGAGGTCCTATCGACCTACCCCGGAAGTAACGATTGAAATAACGTCTCACCTGCAAAGAATTGTGTGTGCGGCATCCATCAAGCTGGAGAATCATTCTTTGCCGTTGTTGCTGAGGAACGTCATTTAAGTGTTGGTAAAACCTCAGTCAAAAAATTGAGGAACCACCAGTCACAATGTAAATTATTTTCGTAGAAATAAGGCCCAATTAATTTATGTCCGAGAAGTCCACACCGAACGTTGATAACAGTGTCTATGATGGACATGGCATAATAGGGCAATGTATGTTCATCTTAATATATTTTAGGTTATAAAGAGGCCGACTTCTTTTCAACCTTTAGACTTTAACCATTAAAGTATGTCATGTAACCATTTTATGTCTTTTGGTCAGATCAGAATGATCCAAATACTCGGAAAGTACTCGGAGGACTATGTCATGTGTGACAATAGTTTTAATAGCTGTCATACAAGATAGGTCGGATTTTTCATTTTTATTTCGACTTTTTACTTAAACTACAGTCCACAGAATAGAGACGCGTCCGGGATTTCATTGCGTATACGACATGGTAGTAGAAGTCGAATGGTTCGCACTCTTGACGACCACATCTGCACTGGGCATCCCTGTCTGTAAAAAGATCGAAAACAGGTAAATAAATCTCTTAGCTGTTGGAATATTTGGAATATCTGAGCTAGTGGATAATACAAGATGGATCGTCCAGGACGAGTATAAATAAGAATATAAATAAGAATCGATCACCGGGCAGCAGGAATCGAACGAGCTTTCAACATAAACTATCCCTGTAAAAAGATAATAAAGTACTCATTACGTATTAAGGTGTAACATTAACACATTTCACGACCTTCATTCCCGGACGTCCATTTACAGAATCCCCGGTCTAAGTGGAGTTGTAAAGAGGAAATGGGCGGAAGTGACTGCCTTTCTTCGTCTTCTGCTGGCCTGCGAAGAGATCGTTACCTATCAGTCTTGTGTGACCGCTGTTTATAAAAGAGGGCCGTTTATTGCATTGTAAAATTTTATGCGCTATTGATACGCCTTGTTTGCATTCTACCCACATCATTTCCTTCTCTTTTCGATCGAATACATTTTTTCAATTTTATTGTATGTAATATTTTATTTAATTTTATGTAATATTAATTTTATGTATTTTATGTAATATTTTTATTTTCTTCCAATCCTACAATAACACTATTGCCAGAACTGCACTCGAAGGTCATCGTCGTTTAGATCGACATGGTGGCTTCTCAGATTGATAAAATGTAGTAAGCCTTAGTGTTAGGATGGATGGAGTGGTTGGTGTGAAACTTTTGGAAGCGGAGTCGGATCATTTCGTTGACAAAAAGTTAAGGTCGTTGTAAATAGTGAGTTCGTGAGATAATAAGGAGCTTTGACCGTATTTCTGAGCGCTTTTCACTGGCAGGATCATCGACTGCGCTGGATGGCCTAGCGGAACCTCACACGTCCAGAGTGGTCGTGGTAACGTTGTGTATAAAGTTAGTTAAGTCTTGACGAAAAAACTGATTTTGTAGATATCCAAGCCTAATGAGTTCTTTTGTCTTGAAAATTGAGTTGAGCTGCAGAGTGGTTGCAATGGACGCGATTGGTAGTATGGATATTCGAGTTACAACTACAAAATAACTAACAAAATAAACTAAATCCTCTTTTTATTTCTTATTATAGATCATACAATTGTTATTTTTATCTTCCAACCACGATTTGAAATTCAAATGTAATAAGTCTCCCTTGATTGGCCCTTGACGTTAAAATTAATTAGACCTATACACTTAATATCTGTAAGGTAATGGGTTGTAATTAGAATTAATTTTTTACAAAAGGAATTATGATATTTACTTATTGAGCCAATGCTAATTGTCCATTTTAAATTGGTTTACATTCTATATAACGAGATTGGTTTGGCTCCTCCATTTTTTAAGATAAGACTTTTAAAAATACTGTGCGGTTTCACAAGTATGTAAATATGTAAATGTACATTACTACAATTTTACATATTAAAGAAATCATATAAATTAACTTTTAAATAATAATAAATAAATATGTCTAAAAAATACTAAATGTTTAAAAAAAATTTCAAAAACAAGGACACTTTTAATTTAACACTTATAAAATGCACAGAATGTATCGTGCGTAGTGCCGGACAGGAAGTTAAGGAAGGTCTAAGTTCCATTTGACTTTAGTTGTGGGATTATATTCTACTTTTGAACAGAGGCCTATGAAATGCCCTAAGATTTTGAATTCGGCCACGTTGCTCATCTTCATGTACGGTCATGATATCTATCATCTTTCAAAAGCTTCCCAGATTATTAACTATTAATTTTTACTGTGTTGCTGCTTGGTGTTCGTGTTCTGCTTTGGCCCTTTGGCTTTGTAATCTCGATAAAGACAACTATTTGCTTATAATTTTGGAGCTGGGAAATAGTGTGATCTCAACTCAGCATGGACAAATAGCCGTTCAAAGTCTACAATTTTGCATATTCAAAAAGAAAGAAGAAATACTTCTACTTACTGGTATTACAAAGGATTATTCAAAAATGGGCAAAAACACTTCTAGATTTTTGACATTTCCACGTGGGTTATTTTTTTAAAATATAAAAGTAAAATACAGTTTCAGCGTAATTATATAAATTAGATCGAGCTGCCGGCAGGATTGCTCCTTTTTGTCGCTGGTAATTTACATGCGAAAATAAGTGGGCATGAATGTCACCAAATTTTTGTGAACTTTTGGAAGACATAGATTATTTTAAGAAATTTCGTCATTATTATTCTTTGGTTGAAAATAGTAAATTATTTGTGTTTAACTGTAAGCGAATTTGATTATATTTATTTATCAAGTCATCATTTGATGCAAATGGTAAAGTTAATTTAACAGTTAGTTTGCCTCTTAATAGGAAATACTTGCCGGACATGCCCAGGGGCATCTTGTTTTATTAATTTGCGAGCGGACGATATTTGACGTTGGTGAGCTTTGCCGGCTTTCTCGATTTACACGGCAACCACCATTCGGTTGTACCACACTTGGCCACTCAGTCTTCGTCTATTTTGAAACAATTAATAACAATGAACTTCCGTTCCAGGTGCTGCTGCGGTTTGTCAAGGACATTCCACTGCGGTACGGGTAGCCAGCCCACCACATCCCAGAGCGAAGATGTATGGCTGCCTGCACGGCACACGATTGCGTCCCACACAGACGCATATGGAACGATTGAGTTCCAGGGAGGACCACATCCGAGTAAAGCACAGGTACTAAACCACCAAACGAATAGAATAATTAATAACATTTAAAATAGCAAACAAAGAGATAAGAGCAATATTCCCCATAATAATATATTATCATAGCTGTTTTGCATAGTAAGCTAAAAAGCTGATTTCTTTGGGTTGGCCATGTTTATTCAACCTTAATTTAAGCATGAAATTTCCGTCGCAAGTGATCAATTGTGTCAATTAATCCATCAATCGCACTGATAATTTCTGATGTTCAACAGAGTGAAAGAGTAATTCTCGAATCGCGTGACTATTAGTGACTCAGTAATCTTAGTTATTAAAAAGATGCTCTATAAGGTTAAGGAAAGACTATTACATACCAGCGCGTCACTTGTATAGGCATGCTCAAATCTTTTGGTGTCTAATGTCCTGCAACAATTTTGATTGGTCCCGATACAAAGATCTGTGTCTACATAGAAGGGGCAGGTTGAGGAGGGAACTTCTACACTGACCTTCGTATAGCTAGCTGATTGCTAAATAATTGAATTTTAAGTGTGTTTTTTTATCCACTTCACTACAATATTTTTTAGGTAACTCTTCTCTCTGCAGTCGCTTGAACAAACGTCCCACAAGCATCAATGGTTTTCGATTAATTTTAATTCGTTGAACCACAGATGGAAAATCAAATATGAACACAATTACTGATTATCAATCACTTGTTGATCACTACTCAGTATAAGGGTTGAATGATGACTGAGGGCTGTTTCAAGCATGCATCGACACTCCAACGTTGCGCAACATTTTATCAGAAAATCGCAATTCAAATGGGACTCATGGATACAATAAGTAAACAGGCCCAAAACAATTACGCCAAACAGTCTTGGTGTGTACTAGGCTTAATTGGGGCAGATACTTCATTCTATGCAATTTTTAATTTAGCTCTTCTTTCATCATTTTCTGAATGATTGTTAAACTGCTTTCTTTTTAATAAATCATCAGTGAAAGGCAAAGCTAGTAGTTCGATCGTTATCAAAGTTAAGTAATCGCTTGCAACAATATTTAAAAATACTTTATTCGAAAAAAAATTCTCTGTCTGGTGTACAAAACTGACAGATAGACGTCCCAAAATCTAGCGTACGTATATGGCTTAGTTTAAAAAAATGGGAGGGCTTTTTTTTAGGTATTTGAAGACTGCTCACTACGATAAAGGAGGTAGGTGGCCTGGACGGACAAGTTTATTTGAAAATGAGAATAAAATATCTGGGTTACAAGACGGACAAAGTTACTTGGGAATATCTACCCTAGAAGATTAGACTTCTTAAATATTATTCTTGGAGATTAATTGAGTTTGTTGTGAACATATTATTTAAACTATGCTTAAACTACTCCTCGCAATGTTTTCTCATTTTTTCAGTAAAAATAGAAGTTACCTCCCATTTAACCAGCAAGGCTATCTATGTCCAGCGCAAAATATCAGCTTGAGAAAAGTGCGACTAGATATTTTTTTGCAAAGGAAAGTATTGAGCAGATTGATAATATTATAAACACTAGAGATATTTAATTAAATTTCAAACGGTCCGGTAATTAAGTATGTCCAATTTTGTAGGACAAAGCAAATCCAGTAGGATTTTCGTCGTCTCTTTAGCCTTACGAATAAGAAAAAATTTAATTTTACCCTTTGGAAAGTTCTTTCTGAAATAAAAAAACAAATGAAACAATCTTCTTAATTGAAAATGGAGAGAAATCATTCCCCTTTGAAATTAAAAAGAAAATCCGCCGAAGCCAAGTTTTTCCAAGGGCTCAAATCCTTTTTGTCGAGTTCTAATCAATTCCGCGGGCATGATTTCAGTACGTCCGGCTGGCTTATGACACGAGGCCAGAATTGATTCTTCAGCTGTTCACCCGGGAATGGAGCCTGGAGCTGCCCAAGTTGCTCATCACGGTGCAAGGCGGGAAGGCCAACTTCGAACTACAACCGAAACTCAAGAAAGTCTTGAGGAAGGGCTTGTTGAAAGCCGCTAAGACTACCGGGGCCTGGATTTTCACTGGGGGCACGAACACAGGTAAAAATACTTTTGCTTTTTCATTTGCTGAATGATTGCTTATTGCTTCCAGTTTCAGTTCCAGTTCTATATATTTGCTGAATATTTTCGTTTGAATTAGTACATATCGAACTTTGTTTAGAAAACCCGAAATCTGTTGAATAACATCAGAATAAATTAATTTTGCCCTAGGCTAATGTTAGATTAAAACATCCTATCTATTGAAACTTAAAGATTTGATTATTCTTGAGAAAATAATAAATAAACGAACAGCGTACGTTGTAGCCAATTATTGAAATGCTGAGTAGGATACATTGTATCAAAAATATTGTCTGATTTTTTTGCCTAATCACTCCCATCAACTTATTCCAAATACCTAGAAAAGCCATAATCTTTATTTTAAACTTCCATATGGTTCTACTCAGGTCGAGGTGCAGAAGGCCTTGTGCCGCCTCTATTATCCCTATCACTATACCTATCCATTTGGATGACCCGTAAACTAGAACATCAAAACACCTTCCTACCTAATACATTATAGGCCAAATACTGAAAAAGCTCCTTCCGTCCCTCATACTGATTTTGATTCTCACTATTCCCCATCACTCATCCGGGCTTTGTTTGTCCACTCGACTATCCATCAAGCAAATCGCATTGTAAACGACATTTCCATCTACCTTAAACTAAAGCACAATGGCAGTGGCCCTGGTGTGTTCTTGGATATAAACCGAGCCTTTGACACACGGTACTGTTGTGCAAGCTAAATCTCGTCCTACCAGCTACCTGTTACCTTATCCTAAGATTGTTACCTCCAACAATCCCACAAAATATCAATATCTCATATCTATACTATATCACAGAGCAGGGACCCAGCTCCCCTGCTTTGCTCATTTTATACGCCCGACTTAACACTATCGCCACATTTGCCGATGATGATATAGATGTAATATTCGTGGTGTTTAATATACTGCGCCCTTTGACAACATTGTAACTTCCTGCTGCGGGCAAATGTAGCATCACTGTTTGCTAGAAGGTGCGTTGGTGTCTCCTGTGCTTCCTTGTAGAATCTGAAAATTCCATGTTGAATTATACCAATCTTCCTCAAATGCCCGTTCAGTCTGCAGTGTCCTGTTAGGGATCTTAAATTTTTTCCTGCTTCCTTGGATGCATTCTGTTGTTCCTTTCCTTCCGAAATTCATTGAGGTTTTTTTAATGTTCTGTGTCTAATAAGTGAAATCATTGTTTCCTCATTTGCATCCTGTCTTTTTATGTAATATATGAATTGATATCCCTATACCCCAAAACGGTTTAGGATCTATCAGCGGTGTAGCAGACCTTTTCCTTGCAAGGGCATCCACTTCTTCGTAACCTTCCTGGGACCTTTCGGCCCCTACTACGCTTACGCTTTATACTTCCGACCTATCACTATCACCCTTACCTTTTCCGATAATAACCAATCCTTTCCCACTCTATAATCACCTGCATATCAATGGAATACTTGCTTAGACACTGAAGAATGAAGGATAACAAAACCATATTCACTTAGATAGTTACTCTAAAAAGGAAAACTTTTCCACCAGTATACATGAACAGTGTTATCATCCCTATTATAGTATGTATATACCTGGTATACCATGTATTCATCGGACACTGGGCAAACGACTGACTTCAAACCATCATTCGGCAATAAGTGAAGAATTGTGCTATCTTATATTAAAATTAAATACGTTGCACCTTCTATCGTTTACTCTGTTCTGATTGAACGGGTGCTCCCAGTGTCTCCTCTTCTACCTACGACTGTCCTCCTATAAACCTTCATCTAGGAGAGCAGCAACAGCATTCAATTGCATAAAATGAAGCGTTGTGGTCGACCTGAACCAAAAACTGTTCTACGTTTTGTTTTGTATTTGAAGTTCCAGCTGCGCCTGGGAGAGAGTCCACCTCCGCCTCATCAAGCTTGACTTGACTCATCCTACTGAACAGCATTAAAAATGACTATGAAACGATCATAAACTGTATAAAGCCGATAGAGACTTAATAGAACTTTGCTTCAACTAAATTCTTGAAGAGCCGAAGAATCCAGACCCAACAATCCAAGATCCTCCATTCTAGATACCCGACACCATCTTTCACACATTGGCAAGAATTAAATACCATCGATTCATCATTTTCACCCATAATAATCCACTTGTTACCCAACTTGCATCGTCCATTCTTCCACGTAATGCCAAGAGAACGCTGAAAAAGTGGTAGTGTTAAAAGAGATATAATACTTTAATTTATTTACTTATTGCTTGTACGACAACTAAACAGCGTAATAAACTGCCTGAATGAATAGGGATATTTGTGATTCATTCTTATTCTATTAATTTTAATTAAATTCTTGTTAGATGGATAAAGCATTTTCTCGTCTGTCTCCATTTTTATCTACTTGTATTCTCTTTAACCGTGGAAAGACATCAGTTAGTCTGCATGGTGATAGCAGAAGAAATTGGAACTCTGACAGAAATGCGACTCATCAGTAAATATAACAGCATTCCACTTGTTGTTCTATTCTAGGCGCTCTTTGGAGAAACTGGAAGAAATATGGTGAAACTCTCCTGAGTTGCTGGTGGCGGGCTTTTGCTGCAGGTCGTCTAAAAGGGGCATACGATGTGAGGCCACGAATCGTTTGTATTGATAAAGCCCTTACAAAACATCTTGTACTTCATTTAGGATTAACTTTTGTCGTCTTTTCTCCATTTTAATTCAGTTGTATTCTCTTTAACCATGGAATGACATAATCTTGAACCAGAAGTTCGCAATATTATTGTCGAGGTCACCAGCAAGTGGATATCGTAGAGGCAGTTGGCGTTTCTCAGAGCGTGGTCTCCAGGGATTCAGCCCGATTCCGAGAAACTGGAAGTGCCAATAGGAGGCCTGGCATTGGATCGCAGTGCATTACGTCGCTAAGGAAGGACATAGTTTCCCACTGGGGTCGCAATGTCTTATAACATTGTGGTTCTTTAGCGTGCGCACCTAGCCTTCCTGCCTTATCACACGTTGCTAAGGAACGACAGACATATGTCATTCGGCAAGACGGAAACGGTTCCAAAGTGTCCGCCAGATCCTGAACGCCACCAGCAATTCAGGAAAATATGGTGCAGCGAGCGCCTAGACGAGAACACCAACTGGAATTCTGTTACGTTTTCTGATGAGTCATGTTTCTGTCTTATAGTGATAGCAGACGCCGAAGAGTCATCCGAAGACAGTGGATGCGTACAATGGCCCAATTCGTGCTCCCTTCCGTGCAGTTTGAATGAGGCAGTGTAATGGCCTGGGCTTTTATTTTTTTTAACTGCACGACGAACTGGACTCCATACTGTTGATGGCAACCTCACCGCAGTCCGTTATGTCTACGAAATTATCGAGGAATACATCCCTTAAACCAGGGATTTTAATGGCAAGGATTTTCGATTCCTGGATGACAATGCCAGACCTCATAGAGGCAGAGTTGTTCAGCAATGTTTAGGAAACCTGGGAATTTCCCACCAGCCCATCAGAAAAAACACAATAAATTTTAATGCAATTTATAATAAAAATAATTATAAAATTTAAATATTACAAAATGGACAATATCCCTATTCATTTTTGAGCAATTTACTAATTAACTTTTACGTTAAATAAATTTAAAAACAAACGTTTATGTAATGTTCTGATATACATGAAATTAACATTATTTACTGGCTGAAAAACCGACATCATTGTTATTTAATAAGGTTAATAATATTACTGTATTATTTCTTTCAGCTTTCAAACAGCGATATTACATAAAACGATAGTTCTAAGAATGCTGCACAATAAATCGACTTTTGCTTTTAGAAAATTTAAGTTGGCGACCACTACATTCACGCAGACATGCTAGAAACACTTGCACGGTAGAAAAGGAACAAAGTTATTCTGTTGTTGTCTATTTTTTATGTGTGTTTGTTTGTTTGTTTGTGTGTGTGTGTGTGTGTCTGTGTGTGTGTGCATTGTTGCAACTTATGGAAGAATTTTTGTACTTTCAAGTGGATATCGATGACCAACGTTCTACGTGACCCGAGGGCGACAGTTACGAGAGTGTTTCGGCCAAGTTCTTCGCCGAAGACGTCAACGGTAAAATGCTCTGGAACAGAATCATTGTAGCTTTATGTGTATCCATTTATTATTTTTGACAATTTTATCGATCCGGGTCGGCTAGAGACGAAAAAATGCCATTCAGAAAAATAAAAAATGACAAATTAATTAATTATACAAGAAATGTAATCCTTCATATTTTTTTATAATAAGAACAAAATTTTTAAAGTTAAATACAGAAAAGAGTTATCATCGAGCCTTTCCACAAGATAATGAAGGTTTAGTCGTTTCAACGCTTCTTATCTTATCTTTCTCTTCTATCCGAACCAAATGGTGCTCGTGGATTATCATCATGTTTTGGGCCAAATTGCACGATCTTTTCTCCTCCATCCCATTGCTGAACACGTGTGTCTTGTAAGTTTACACGAACTTGTCGTATTTTATTTTCTCGGCTGGTCAAAATGGCCAAGAGCTTTTCATTTACGGAGTATTACCAGCAGAACTACTTTTGAATTACAATACAATATGATCTGACAATCGAACATTTAGCAAGAATTAGGGCATAATGGTTCACGAGAAAGGAGAATATTTCTATATCGTGTTAATATAATGATATATAAAAAATGATGTAAATAAACAGATTGAAAAATATTCTCCATTCTTGTGACAAATTATGTGTGTCAAAGTTATTATAGTCGAATTAGTTGTTTGTTAAGTAGTATGAGAGAATAATAGGCAGGATCGTAGTAAATGAGATTAGCTAAATAAAAAACTACAAAAACATAAAAAACGAAGTAAAGTGGGGCAAAAAACAATTCAGATTCGTTTTAAACACCTTAAATACAAATTTTTAAAGGAAACAAAAAATAGAATTTTTTGGCTGGATTAGCCGGAGGGAAATGTTTTTCCTTCAGTATCCGGTGTTGATCCACATAAAAATTCATAACTCCTCTGGATGTTATTCAACCTCAATGTCATTACAACCGTTGAAATTGTCTTATTTCAGGCTGTGTAAATAAGATTTTGATTTAATGTCATTAGAAGTGAGAAAAATTGGGTTAAAATCTAAAGAAAACATTTCAAACATTTTATGTCTGATTGAAATTTATTTATGGTGGAATTTGTGTGGATTTATTATTCAATATCGTACTGTATATAAGGCCCTAAACCCCTATACAATTTTGTGTAGAACAATGTATATATTTACATTTTTTAACCTTTTTTGATTTTCGACAAAAACTGAGCGCACTTGGAAGACGAAAGCTTTGACAAAAATTTATTTTTATTTTCCAAAAATGTTTAAAACAAATATCAATATTGTTTCTTGCTAAAAACGAAAAAATAAACACATAATTTCTACGAATTTGATATAATTCTGTATTCATTCTACAAGTTTATTAACTAACGTATTTCTAAAATAGAGTGAGTTAGATAGACATTTCTAGCTACATTATTTAAAATGATGCCTTTCCATTTTTCATAGCCTTAATAAATAATTTCAGTTGTCCTAGAGAAAGAATTAGTGCGGTATATATTTCCAAATCACTTTTTCGGAATATTTTAAAGTGAAAACATATTATAATCTTGCTAACTTTATTTTTCAAGTCCACTTTCTCAGGAAGGAGAATAGGACCGCGGTGACCGAGATCGTTAAGACTTCAAACTCGTATGTCACGTTCGCGGTATCGGGTTTGATTCCCTGCGGAGCCCTTGGAATGTTTCTAACCCCCTGAAGGTAAAATGGAGCATGTAGATTTGGCAAAGAGACAAAAAGTGCCCCGAGAAACATTTCAATACAGACTGGCTTACTATCCTGAGATATGAGCACAAGTTTTTAATGCAAACCACACGTCCACCTTTATCAAATGTTTATCCTTTCTTGGCTTTTATGAAAACTAATCAAGTCACTAGTCTGTCCCCCAACTGCCTATGCATTCGAAATATACACGCATCCAGCAGTCAGATTGTCAGAAAATTCGATCGTCTGAGGCATTGTTGCGAAACGAAATCCGATTGCGTATGATGAAATTTGTGCATTGTTAATGATCAAATGTTTTAATGGTGGAAGTAAAACCCTCTAAGATGATCCAGCAACACTTCGTCCAGGGAAGGTCGATGATACCGAATTACTCGAGATTGTACTCCAGTAATATAAATGTAACACAATCTATTGTTGATTATGTATTCCTACTTATCAACTTGAAGCCTAGAAATTTATTTATAGCCTTTCCTAATCAATTTTACAAAAAACAGCATTTAACAAACTGCAAGAAGGTAAAATCAGTGATTATACTCTTGTGTAAATCAATGGTCACTTTTCGAAAAACTGTAGGTAGGTAAAATCAGTGTTTAAAGACTTTTTAAAATTGGAATCTGAAGCAGTCGTGTCCACTATATCAACGCTGTGCCTTTCCGCGCTTATAACTCTCTCTTCGATATTTCGTTATATTCTTTCGAAATCAATGGAAACATTTTCCACAAACACTGAAAGTAGATGAGCAACGACGGTAGTCATCATATAAGCGTCATGCCGCTCCCTTCTTGTAACCCTGACTCCTCGGCATCTCGTTATGAACATTCCTAATCAATGATAATATTATCGAAAAACTAAAAATAAGTGGAATGTAGATAAGGATTTAAGGAAAGAATAAAGTTTTTTAAATTTCAAACGACCAGTGGTCGTGCTTTTCCTCTTTATAATCCTGATGCCTCGTCTTCTTGTTGTCCCCTTGTCTAAATCAGAGCTAACATTTTCTGAAAAAACTGAATGTAGGTGAAATCAGGATTTTAAGTGTTTTGTGTGTCGAAAAAAGTCATTAAAAATCTTCAAGGGGTGAAATAAGGATTAAAGGAGTTTTTTTATTTTTTATTTGAAATATAAAAAATGTTTTGTGACTATAATCAGCATCATGTCTCTCTCTGCTTAAACCCCAACGCTTGAATATACCTTTGCAGTCTTTTCTAATTGCGATAACATATCCAAAAAAACAGCATTAAAATTTACAGATAGATGAAATCAGGGTTAAAAGAGTTTTTTATATTTGGCAATCATCAATTTCATCGGCATGCTTTTTTCTGCTTATACCCTTGACTTAGCCCTTCCTCACTACTGGGAGCGGGCCGCCACAATGCCAGCTAACTCCTCACTAATTAATTCATATTAATTTTACTGTTATTGGTTTATTAGCATTTGTTATTTTTTTAAAGCAAATTATATGTCTCTTGTTACATAAATGATTTTAAATCTCATTGAGAAGAGGCTCTTGTTAATCTCTATAGTTTTACGTGGAAAATGGATGTTATACTGTAAACTATGTGTTAACCTACAACTGAGCTGAAAGTAGATTCGTTCAGTATAGAGCCATCATATAACAATTTATTATTCATCGCTCTGTCTATTTTTCATTGTTACCACTCATTGTGCATAAATTGTCTTAAATTCTGTAAATTAATGTTATAGGATGTTGAGTGAAATCGTTGAACAGATCGTATTTAAATATCCAATTTTTTTTAGGAGTCAATATTAGTTACGAAGCATAAAAATCTTTTATTACTCATCATTTCATTCTGTTACAATCCCTTCCTTTTCAGACTTTAATTGCGTATTTGTTCACACCATGCACGGATTTGTTCGTCTGACAGTTTCACCAAAACTCTTGCTCACGTTATGTTATTTAAAGTAATAATTTTATATGGGAAGAAGTCGAAAAGTTAATGCAGTCCCTCATTAAAAAGGGTGAAAGGAGAAGTTTGCAAAATTTGACGAAGCGAATATTGTTATAAAGACTATCCAGAAAAAATCCTCCCGTTTGAAACGTATTTATACATTTTGCAGAATAGATTCTATTTATAAATAGCATCATTAGAACTTGCAAAGTATACTTAATATTTTACTGACTTGACAGATAGAAAGGAAAATATTTAGAAGGGAGAAATATATAAATTTACTCTAATGGATAGTTCATTATTCTTATAACATTAATATAAAAAAAGGATTTTTGAAGTATATTGTAGACGGAACACTTCATTTTTCACCAAAGAAAAATTACAATAGAGGCCCCAATACAATGGGATGTTTCATTTTGCATTAATGCATGCACTGTGGAAGGATGTTTATGAGTTGTCGATTAATAATTTGCAAGTAATTTCATAGGGAGTAGCTGTTTCGTATGTATGACATGTTTTATGTGTCGCATTGATTAATTTTCAGATTAGTTTAACTAGGTAGTCAGAATGTTTTTTAATTTTCTCGTAAGAAAGGCAAGTAGACAAAGGGCATGCAATATGACCGGTATAAGTAAGTCATTCCTAGTTTCTCCGTTCGTTTAATTGTTGTCCTCTTTCCTAGTCAAACATCTTGAGAGAAGTATATTGTGTAAAAGTTGGACCATTTGTCAATAAAAAATTCTAATGAGTGTTAGTAAATTAAATGAGAAAGCAACGTTAGATAACGCTTGATGAAGCACATGCTCGGTACATATTTTTATCCTTTAGGAAGAACAGAAGGACTTGTACGATTCCGTTGGCCTCTATGTTCTTCGTTTATATTACCATTTAAGAATATATCCTATTCGAATCTGTCTTTCTACTTTTTCTAATTTAATTCTTGCGGTTTCGTTGTAATATTAAGCTGTCGATATTAATTTCGAAATATTTTAAAGGACTACTTTTAAAAAGATCTCAGCTACAAGGGCCCATTGGCAAGAACTCTCGGACACGTGTCATTATTATTACGATTTTTGAAATTAGTAAATAAAAAGTTACGTTAAAATTGTGATCGCGAGCCCTTATCCTTTATTTGTATGTACGTTACTTGCAAGTAGACCACCAGACATTGGAAAAAATATCTTATTCGATAAAAATTTCCAAGTATTTTTCATTCTTTGCTTTCTTGGTAGTTTAAAATAAATCCAAATTGTGTTTTTCAAAAACAAAATTTTGACTTATTTTACTTAGAGCGCCTTTTGCTTTTTATATATTTTTATAAATCTAATTTCTTTTAGGACCGTCCTACTTATTTTGTTCTTATTCTACGTAAAAAAAAAGAAAAAAACCTACTGATTTATTTTTATTTCCATTCATATTGATTTTTAAGATACGATATTATGATTTTTTATTACTGATATATTATACATACATATACTCTTGAAATACATACGCAACAAAGGCATAATCCCATATTTAAACTAAAAAATATTTAAAATATTTTTCCCTGGCTCCTCGGGCCCATTGGCAAGAATGCTAGGACACATGTCTTATAATTTTCGACCTAGTATCACCAAAAAAGGAGCGTGATACCAAATCCATAATTGATTAGTCTAACTAACCTAACGCTAGCCAGAGCCTCTTCTATTAAGTCGTTAAACTTCAAAAACAAACAGAAATTCAATACATTCGATAAATTAAACGTGACCGAAGTAGTTAAACTGTCTTCCGAGACATTTCGCTAATAGTTCTTGGGAAAACTCGTTATTATTTTGGATGATCAACTTTCTCAACGTGGCTTTGGCAACCGTCCATTAAGTCGAACCAGTTTCCCTGTAGGGGATTTTCCAATGCGCCAAAGTGTGAGAAAATCTGTCGGACAACATGGGCAACTTCTACTTATTGGTAAAAAAAACAAAACAATTGGTCGATTCTACAATATTCAATTTAATTGTTGGTTTTATAATTTCTCGGTTGTGTGCGGTACAGAAGTCAGCATACAACTTTCATGTCGAACGTTCATTTAAACAAAATAAACGGATCAGGATGTAAACGGATTACGTCAATCCCTAGACAAATTTGAACGATTCTAATACGATTGGGTTCAATAAACGTATAAAATTCCCGTTTCTCCAGAATACGGAATGGAAAAAGTCAACCGGAACTCTCGTATTTCAAGCCTTCTTGGTCCAAAACAATATCAAGCTTCTGAATTTTCCATACCATATAATGTGGCCTGTACTCGCTCTTAAAATCACAAACCAAAACCATCACTTTATAAACTCCAATGTTTTCAAAATGAAAAGAGTAAATAAAATAATCACACAAATTCTTGTCATGATACCAACTTATGTCACAGCCTTGTATTCAAATGAATAAAATACCTTTGACTGGTATACATTTAAAATGTCAGTATAAATCATGAATACGAAAGGCATAATTGAATTACAAAGGAGTGTATAAAAAGATATTGAAACAATATTATAAGCCTGAAAGCCCTGTTTTGATTTGACTTTGATTTGTATTTAGACAGGATAAAAGTAGGCTTAAACAATTAATTGAATATTGATTACATGAGCTTGCACACTGTCATGTTACCCAGGAAAATTCTCCTAACAGAAAAAATCTCCTACAAACCTTCTAAGCTGAGTCATTAAAAATAAAATAACAATTAGTGAAATACTGCTTTTCAGTGTATTTCTTCTCGTCTGACTGAATTGTCGTTCTTTTTCAAAATAACCATGTTTAAATGTTAATATTTTTAGTATTATTGCTTTAGTAATTTTGTCTATGTAAACCAAGTAAAATGTTAAAACGTTCGCGAAATTATAGCTATTCTAGTACAATTTTAGCTTTAGGATAAAAAAAAACAACGATTCGGTATTTTGCTTGCAATTTTCTTGGGAAACATGTTTTTTCCCCGTTTCATTTATATATCTTTTTAATTCATTACAAAGAAGTTGCTCCTCAGCTCCTTGCTGAATAAAACAGGATTGAGCGAAACGGGCGGACTGGGGGAAAAAAGTTCTACAGGGCCGGTGAAAGATTTATTGGGTCCGTTCGCGGAAGGCAGCCGTGAGCATGATCCCCCCAATTCGATGTCGCTTAGAAAGGAAGCATGGCTACTTTATAAATCGTAAATGTTGTATCTTCCTCGTCTAACGGCCTTGTACATTTATTTTACAGGTGTAACTCGACAAGTCGGAGATGCGTTGTTAATGGAGAGATCTCAAAGAAGCGGCCGGGTCGTCAGCATCGGGATCGCCCCCTGGGGCATTGTCGAAAACAATCATGAACTAGTCGGACACAACAGAGACGTGCCATACCACTCCATATCTTCCCCGAGGTAAGCACCAAACATTTACGAGTTAAAAGCTAGAGTTCACTCTGCACTGTTCAACTCTGCTTCCGCCCCCTGCTAATCTCCCTCGCAGGGTTACTCGTCAGTAAACAGAAGATAAGATGGTCCGTACATACCGTCCAAAACGGCAAGAATAAGCTTGTTCAGGTCGTATGCCACTGTGGGGAAAAATTGGTCACTTTAATATTTGTAATTATCTCTTAGACAATCCACCATGCCAATATTTAGTCCTTTTTAAAGGATTAAAGGTAAATAAAATCTCCCATTTGTGTTTACAGTTAATATAAATCAATCAATCTTATTGTATCTTCTATGTGATATGCCAGATTTTACTACATAATAGATTCTCAAGGATTAGGGTTGTGGTCATTGACCTTGTATGGTCAATGACTCCAACCCTAATCCAAGAGACTATTATAAAGTGAGCAAAAATGAATAGATATGCCTGTAATTTATTATTCTATTAATTTTAATTAAATTAACCAATATGTTCTTGTTAGTTGGACAAAATAAAATAGAAAATACCAACCAAAAACAAAAAATGTTTCATTTTTAATAACGGATAGTAAACATGACGATTACTCATTTTGTAAACAAGCACCTTTTCTCGTCTTTTCTCCATTTTAAACTAGTTGTATTGCCTTTAGCAATGGAAAGACATCAGTTAAACTGTATACTGATAACAGAAGAAACTAGAACTCAGACAGAAACGCGACTCATCAGTAAACATGACAGCATTCAGATTGTTCCATTCTAGGCTTTCTTTGTCTGCACCATATTCTCCTGAGTTGCTGATGGCGGGCTGTTGCTGCAAGTCGTCTCAAAGGGGCATACGGTGTGAGGCCAACTTCCCACAAACGATTCGTAATCATAATGATAAATAACATGCCATAACATCTTGCGCTTCATTTAGGATCTGGGGGCACTATGGAAAGGTTCCGTCTTGCAGTAATGACAATTCGTTATTATTCGTTGGCTGAAAACGATGGTTCCTCTCATTAACTCTCTTTTGCAGTAATTCGGATTTCGAACTCCCAAAAGAACGTGAATTGAGTAGTCACTTACTACAACGACTTGACAACTATTGACTAGTCGTTCTACAATTTACGTTGGAAAACGTATTTGTAGATCTGCAGCCTAACGATTAGCATTTGAAAGTTCGAAATCCGGATTATATCTAAAAGCAACCTGAATTGACGTACTTAGTCCACTATAACTATTTATATTTGTCATAGGTTTAATTGTCAGCGGAAGCATTAAAAATTTCCAAAACCTGTGGAAACACAATAATCTGACGATACGTTGGGTTAGGACGTACCAGGACACACTGGAATTTGGGTAAAGAAAAGGCAGACACACTGGCCAGAGGAGGATCTGCAAGACCGTACATAAGCCCTGAACCTATTCTTGGGATAACAAAACCAAACATACAATCCTCCATCACAGAAAGGATTTAAAAAGACAAAAGGAGAAGTGGATAAACTTTAGATGTGTAGATACAGTAAAGTTATGGTAAAATAACCCTCACCGAGCTTGGCACTCTCATTGCTACAGATAAAGAGGGCTAAACTAAGAGGAGTATTAGGACTATACAGGGTGAATTGCTACTCGTGCTACAAACTTCTCCAGTAGATTCTTCACCCTAAAATGAACAAAAAAGTTCATATTGTCCATGGTCCGATTCTCAACCATTTCAGAGTAATTTCGCTTTTTATCGATTTTGAAAGATATCACGTCCTGGCGTCGGAAAATCGTGATATCTTTTAATCTAAACATTTCTCT